AATCGCCAAAAAGCTTTATTTACCGAATATAATTTAATAAAGAGAAAACAATATATACTGTTTCCTCTATAATGGACAATATTTTGAATTAAAAATTTTTAACGATTTCATCTCGAGTTTCTACCTCTTTTAATCCATTCGCGTTCCTTTTAATAACATTATGTTGAACGGCGACTTATAATTGACGCTATTCATTTTTTTTTTGGGCTTCGTTGTGTCGCTCTAGAGATTCACGTTATATAAATTTATATACATATAGACATATATATGATAATCCTTTCGTCATTTCACTTGCGGTCGTTTCTGTCAATGTTGGGTAGCTGCTATCAATCTTCGTTATATAAAGAAGAGTAGATACAAGAATATGATAGAGAAATATGGGAAAAGTGATTTCCAGAAAAATACAAAACAATTTAAAATAAACAAAGCCTCAATTTGTATCTATATTGTCGGAACATGAGATTTAATACGATCGTGACATATCGCGGTTTACCGACGAATATAAGGAAGCGCTTTCGTATGAGTATAGCGTGCTTGAACGAGCTTGCAGAAGTGACTACGGTGACACTACTTCCCTCGTAAAATTACGCGTGCTGCAAAGATTTACAGGCGATAACTTGAATATCTTCATGCGAAAATCGAGAAAAATATTCCTGTGGTGAAACACAAGAAGGCTATTTTAACGAGCGGGTGTAACGTCCGACGTTAACTCCGGCAGGAATTCAGAAATGGAGCGACATCTGATAGCAGGCCATCATCGGTCGTGAGAACCACTTTACCGTCGTACCGCTCATTGAAGAGCGGATAGGTGAGTAGACTTTTGCCTTTCACACGTCAGACTAAAGAAAGGCGAGGGCTCTTATAAAAAACGGAATTGCTTCCTTGAAAAACGTGCCCTGCTTCCCGAGGCAAAGAACGGACAAGTGAAGCTTGAATAACTTTTAACTGCAAATATATTCCTTAGAGGAATGATTTCTCCTGCGAGATACGTATATTTGTCTCTATCTAAATTCATTCTAAATAGAATTCTAAATAGGATAAGCGCAGGACACGAATCTTTTTCTTAAGAAACAAAGTGTGATACACAAAGTATTTATTTAATGTAAAATATAGTTTATTGTGCGTTTCCTTCTTTTTGATTCTTTTAGATCTCCGTAATGAAAAAAATTAAAATTCCTGTCTCTCTGCGAAATAATTATACATAAATTGACAATACGTGTCACTTTGTTTTAATTTGATGATTTATATACCGCTACTTTGTCAAACTTAATCCTAATTGGTATTCACTCCGAACTCTAGGTAGTTGCGAGTCCAGTGTATTTTAAGTAATGTATCTTTATTTAAAATTAACGTAAGTGAGCGATTTTTTATTTTAAATGTTAAAGTTCGAGGAATAAAATTACATAATTTAAAATTATGTAAAATTGTGAAAAACATGTGTTATGAATAATTTTTTGCAATAATTTTTGTATATAGTTGAAGAAAATTTCCACTGGAATACTGATTAGATTTAATAATAATAGCACACATTATACAGGGTGAGTAAAAAATATGTTATTCTTAATCTAAAGTCAAGCTTATTTTCATTTTTGCATTGAAAATTCATTTTTATGTAAAAATGGAAATAAGAGAAACAATCTCTAATGATTTGATTTTAATGAATATTATCCAGGACATGATGCTGAACAACATTCAGAAAGTTTTAGCCGTCAGTCGGACATCTTGCGTAATGCCAACGGTACTGTAATTTTCAAGCCTTATAACTCGAAAAGTAATTTATGAAAAATAACTTTATTGTAGTGTTTTGAAAAACTCTTGATACCAACTATAAGATTCCGGAATCAAAAATAGAGTGTGCCATTTAAAACAATCGATGTGACTTGGCGACGCCATCCAAAGTCAGATTTACTAGTGAATAGGTTATTTAAAACCCTAAACTTTCGTAAGAAACATTTCTTTCAGAAATGCTTTGTTTTCGAAATATTTCAGCGGTCCGGAACTTTTTACTCACCTTATATAACGTATTTATAACAATACTACATGTTATACAATAATAATATTAATAACAATAAAACTTTTTTGAAGTATATCGCATGCCAGGCGCGCGCAAATTGCCAATAAATCTGAAATGCTCCATTAAGATTATGTCCATCACAAGAGAAGGATAATATGCTTTGATCCATATTTCTTACACCAAGAGATAATTTCTTGCAACTTGATATTCCACTTCGGACTTTATCTAGACAGGTTGATGAATTATTGAATTGCGCTGTGTATAACGGTAGATGCCACTTATGAGATCGTCAATGATGTAGGTATACTCGACGGGCATAAAAATGTTCGGACACGTGGCGCGAATCATCAAGTATAAGTGCATCAAGGGAAAATAAAGCGATATAGTCCGCGTCGCAGTTAAGAACAAGAATTAGTCAGATATAGCCATACACAGTCGGTTCGTTATCGGTGATACGAGAATCATGTAGAGAAGTAAAACGACAATGTTCAGTAAAATTTTGTTATAACTTCCATTTTCGCGAAATATACTAGTCACATTGCGTTTCCATTGAAATTTTTGTACAACTTTTGATGACACTGTACTATTAATGAATTCAACAGTATCTCTTCCCTTTGTCTTTTCAATAGATAGGTAAAAATAATATTATGTTTATATATAAGAAAAATAATATTGAAATGATGATCTCTGGTAAAATTTGAATTTTTTATTTAATCTTCAATTATTTTGTAAAATAGAATGTTAAATTTTTTTATCTATTTATTTTTATATAGCCACTTTTATTGGGCTTTGAATGATTCATTTTATGATACAATTAAAATTGTCAAAGTACAAAAATGATAAAAAAGATATAACTTTTCGATATCCGAAATCAATTTTTTTTAAAACGAAATTTTTTTACAAATTTTTTGTGTCTCTCCATTATGTTTTAAGATAATTACCTTTTTTATTTTAACATCAATAACTATTTTTTTTTTTATAGAGAGAAGAAGAATGTGAAAAGTTTTTGCAGGATACGATGTAACGATGTGGGACTTTATTTGTTGTCCAGTGAGAATTCATTCCAATGAATTCGTAATCTCCCATAGGATTTATCTTTCGACACACGTAATATAATATGAAAAAGGTCAAAAGGAATTAATAATTAATGACAGAGAGATATTTTTTTGTACATATCTTATCGACAACCGTAATCTTTTTTAGAATTAAAATTGACTCATTTATTTTTAAACGATAAATATATTTCGTCGAAAATGAGGAATATTTTAGTGTTTTCCATTGTTACTTTGATATACAATAGTATCTCGACAGAAGCTCGTTGTTTAATATTTGTTACGGTGTGTAACGTGGCGTATATTGTATGTCTGCCTCAGATGAGCTCTATTCTATTCATTTTGATGATTCGCCAGGGGATATTTTAATACGTAAACTGTGAGCGTCATTCGTGCATCGCCTGCTGAATTTGTTTCAACCATAATCACAGTTCCTTTAGTAGTTACATAAAACTGAATAAACCGTAGCACTAATTAACACACATTTCATATAAATGTATAAAGAATATGCGTTGTAATTAAAGATAAATTGAAGATAATTATAAATATGATACTTATAAAAAGAAATTATTTTTATAAAACGATTGTACCGCTTCTTTTTACTTCAAAAATGGCACAACTCTGACAAAAAAATATATAATTTTAAATTGTCATCATGAATGAGTGAATTAATTTAATCTTATTAAAAAATGTCGCAAAATTATCACAACTCAAAAGAGTGGTTTTTTTTTTTAAAGATTGTGAAAAGTAGAATGACATTTGATGTTAAGAATATATTCTTTTTATTTTATTTGGTTAGTCGATAATTTTCTGTCAAGTTGAAAAATAGTTTTCGTCTTTTCTGAGAAACTCAATTTTTTGCGCTATCACTTTTTAAGTAAAGAAGAAGTAGAAGTTCTTCTTCTAAATAAGTTTATTTATATTTCCAAGGTAACAAACAAGTAAAAACCGAAAAGTAAAAACAAGTCAAAAAATTAGAAAATTAACTTACATGTTCGAACGTTAATTATATGTTTAAGTACATTAAATGCATCTAATCATAATTACTTAATTGTTTAATATTAAGACTAGTAGAATCATTTGCACAACAATTTGCGTTTGCGCTTCGCGATGCGAAATTTAATAAAATCTTTATCTTTGATATTTGTGATTTTCTATTTGTTTATCTGTGTTTGAAAGCGATGGGAAAACCACGATGTGTTGTGCTATATATGCGTTCTCGCGTTACGTGCACGGCATCGGTAAGTCTTCCCTCTCGTTCCACTTTGAAATATTAATTTATGTGATACCCGTTACGCGAACAAAGTCTGAAGTTGAACTTTTGATTCACGATGTCGGCATTAACAATATTGAGAGGGTTTCTGCTTTGGTTTCCTTGGAGACCGCATGAAACTAAGATCGCAAGAAAATGAGGAAGACGGGGAAACGTCATTACATACTTTTGCTAATATTACAATACTCCATTCCTCCCAGACCTTCAATTTTCTACTTGTCAATTACTTCGCTTTTTGTACTTTCCTTTCGGTTCTTTTTAGCCGTAAGTATATTTCTCTAACTTTCTTAGGAACGGCTTTATGATTCTTAAATAAAAGACCAAACTTTGCATTCTATTTCTCTTCATATTTATTATATATATCTATTCTTATATATAT